TTCCAGGCCAGCTGGAGCTACAGGGAGACCCTGTCTCAAAAAGACCAAAACAAAAAACAACTACTGCAATGTGAGATTTAACTTGGGAAAGTCTGTGTAGTATTGAAAAGAAAAAATCATTTCAAAGGATACATCAATAGATCAAAAGACTGCCATGATTTGAACTGGAGGGGACATAATCAAAATTGTCACAGTGGATTTAATGTGCTGCTTTTCACATGTATACTCTTTTTTTTTTTTTTTTTTTGTTTTTTTGAAACAGGGGCTCCCTGTAGCCCCAGCTGTCCTGGAACTCACTATGTAGACCAGGCTGGCCTTGAACTCACAGAGATCCGCCTGCCTCTGCCTCCCGAGTGCTGGGATTAAAGGCGTGCGCCACCACACCCGGCCTCACATGTATACTCTTATTTCCTACATTTTATCTATTGGTAAATCACATGGTAATAACATTTCTGCACACATGGATTTTAAATGTTTATTGAGCACTTACTGTTGTGCCAGTCACTGTTAACAGGAGCTAGAGAGAGAGTAATGAATAAAGCAAGCAAGTTCTTGCCTGCCTGTAGCATACAATCTAGTGAGGAACATAACAAAAGAGAACACAACCAACCAATTAAAGTATCACTCTGAAATGCTGAAAACTGGAAGAATAAAAACTATTGATGCAAACAAACCCCCAAAAAGTCAATTTTGTGAAAACAGCAAATTCAACTCTAGATAAGCAGTTATTTCACATGAAATCAGAAAGGTACAAAACTAGAAACAGGTATTTAAGTTAACTGCACAGAAATTTCAGCAGTCCCTCTTATCTGTGAGGGACACATTTCAAGCCCCCAGTGGATGCTCAAAACTGCAGGTAATACTAAACTATACACAGGCTGAGCATCCCTAATCCAAAAATCTAAAATCTGAAATGCTCCGAAATCTGAAACTATTTGACTGCTGACAAGATGCCATGAGTGGAAAACTATATCTGGCCTTATATAATAGGTCACAACCAAATCCAAGTTCACTAGAAATTCTCTATAAAATTAAAATTTCTCTCAGGCTACATGGATGAGGTATATATGAAACAAAAATGAACACTGCTTAGATCCATGCCCAAGATTATCTCCTTATGTATATGCAAACATTCTAAAACCTGAAAAAAATCCAAAATCCAAAATACTTTGGTCCCAAGCATTTTGAATAAGAGATACTCACCCTGTATGCTATGTTTTCTCTTTTATCTACAAATCTATGATAAAGTTTAACTTATTAATTTATAAATTAACAAACAGAATAACTTTTGACAATATGCCACATATAATAAACATTGTATGAATATTATACTTTATTTTTTATCCTCACTTGGTCATGGGTACCTGAAACTATAGATAAAAGGGGAGGACTACTTATAGCTGGAGTTTTGAGAGAAGATAGATTGTGAGAAAGCAGGGCAGAAGCTTCTTGGATGACCATCCTGTGTGGAAGCCCTCAGAGATACAAACAGCCCATTATGACAAAGTAGCACCTATTTTATGTTATCTTGGTTCCATCCTCTGGCCTTGATGGTATCCAAGGGTGAAGTCAAAAAGAAGGGAGAGGTTTGGCGACTCCCACCCCTAGAAATAAAAACCAAGGGCAGAATATCAGGACTTTTAGATAACATTTTTGAGAGTCAGAAACTACAGATTAGGGATTGCTGAGGTAAGAATTTTTAAAGAATTATTTTCCCACATCTAATGTTTTACCATCCTTAACCTATTTTCTTACTATTTACTAGCAATAAAAACTCTCAAGCTGAATGGGGACTTGATTTTAAGAGTTGTAGAAAGGGGAATGGAGAGGTGGCTCAGCAATTAAGAGCACTGGCTGCTCCTCCAGAGGACCCGGGTTCAGTTCCCAGCACCCACGTGGCTGCTAACAACTGACTGTAACTCCAGTTCCAGGGAATCTGACTCCCTCTCCTCCTTAGGCATTGTACAACATGTGTACCTACCTACATACACTCATACACATAAAATAAAAATAATAAAAGTATTTTCTAAAAGTGTTGTAGAAAGACAGTAAATAAATACCTGCAAGGCTTGGAAGAATCCCAAGAACTATGGGAATTGCTTGGTAAAAACATGGTGAGTACCTAGGACCTACTTCAAGTGAAGAGATCTGGGTTACAGATCTGAGCCTGGGAGGATCTCAGGCCAACAACTCTTAAGACCTACAGTTTCTAAAAAAAGAGGGTAGGGTTTAGTGGATAAGGGTGCTTGCTGCTGGACTTGATGGCCTGCACTCAATCTCTGGGTTTCACATGGTAGAAGGATGGAACCAAATTCTATGTTGTCCTTTGACCTCCATACATGCATCATGGCACCCATGCCCACAAATATATACACAATAAATAATACATAAACGTAAAAGTTTAAAAAAAAATTTGTTTTTTAGAGACAGGGTTTCCCAGCAGCCCCTTCTCGCTATGAAGACTAGGCTGGCCTTGACATCACAGAGCTCTGCCTGCCTCTGCCTCCTGAGTACTGGGATTAAAGGTGTGAGCCACCACACCTGGCTAAAATAAATTTTAAAAGGAGAAAATATAAAGTTAGAGAAATGATCAAGATTATTGTCTTCAAGTAAGAAAAGGTGCCAGCATCGAGAGGAAATGAATCATAGGCAAAAACAGCAGTATGCCATGGGAACCAAGAGTTTAAAATAATAGTAAGTGGATAAGTATATTAAATACTGTTTTAAGGAGGCAAGTGATTAACGTTATTAAATACAGCAAGAGATCAAGGACAGGGAGAAATAAAAAAAGAGTTACTGGTTTTGGTAATCGGAAATCCTTGTTTATCTCCAAGAATATAGCCTAAGGAAAACATGGTGGTCAGCAGTCAGACTATAAGTGAATCAATGATACACATCTTTGTTAGCCTATGAGAAGAGTGCTACACTGAGCACTAAAGGGATCATCAGTATGAGCAAGATGTTCCTAGTTTTAAGAAATTCGCCATTTAAGTAAGGTGAAGGGGACTGAGGCAAGAGGACTGCATGAATTGAAAGGCAGCCTGGGCTACCTAACAAGGATAAAGACAGCTAGAGCCACATATGAAGACCCTGTCACACACACACACACACACACACACACACACACACACACACACACACACACACAGAATGTGTAGCTCAACTGGTAGAGTGCTTGCCTCATATGCCCAGGTTTGGTCCCCAGCACTGCATAAGCTAGGTATGGTAGTACATACATGTAACCCTAGCACTCCGGAGGTAAAGGCAGGAGGATTAGGACTTGAAGACTAACTTTGTCTACATGAGATCCAGTTTCAAATATAAAAGAAAACAAAATTAAAAGTAAAAAGAAAGAGGTCAGGCAAGAGAGCATAAGAGTGTCAATACTGGGTTAGTTCTGTAGTTCAGGGGGTAAAAGCACTTGCCAAGCAAGTCTGATGACTGAGTTTGACCCCTGAAACCCATGAGGGAGGAAAGGAGAGAAACCCATTCTAGTCCCATATTGTCCCCTAACCTCTACACACATATGCAGGCTAACAGTAAATGAGTAAATAGTTGGGTGTTTTTTTTTTTTTATTTTTAAATGAGAAAGGAAGCCAGGCATGAAGGAACATACCTTTAATTCCCAGCACTCTGGAGGCAGACACAGGAGGATCTCTGTGAAATTGAGGCTATCCTGGTCTACATAGTGAGTTTCAGGCCAGCTGGGACCTATCTCAAAACACACCACACACACACACACACACACACACACACGGGGGAAGAAGGAGGGTGCTGTGCTCATACTAGAGAATAGTTATTTTTTGAGACAGTCTCTTGTGGCCTTACACTCACTAGTGGTGGAAGATGACCTTAAACTTCTCAATCTTTGGTCTCTGCCTGCTGAACTCTAGGATTATAGATGTGGATGTCAAACCCAGAGCTTTGTACATGTCAGACAAGCACTCTACCAAGCTGCATCCCCAGTCCAACCAAGTACAGTATCTGGAACATAAGTCCGAACGGTTCAAACATCACTCTAAGTCAATTCCCAAAAGATAACAGCAGCTAGTCTTTGAGTACTTTCCAACTGCAGTGCTCAGTATTTATAGATATTATCTCATTGAATTACACAACTCCTTATTCCAGTTTTACAGATGGTGAGACATTTATTAACATTCTCAAAGTTGCAGTTAGTAAAGGGCATCAGAAATTGAACTCAGACTGTAATTCCAAGGGCAGGCCTCCTTATATTATTACTGTATATTGTACAATAAATGAAAAAAAGAATTTTTACTCTTGGGTCTTGTATCTTAAACGCCCTTGTAAAATTTATTAATCAGAGATTCCAGGCAGTAAAGCTCATGATATTAAGAACCCAGTATGAACAGTTACTACCAGTGCATAAAGAAAGCTATACTTAATAGGTCAAAGAATTAACCTTACAACAGGAGTGGGGAATGAACTGCTCAGCGAACCTACCTAAGTTACTCCATTCTGTTCAGAGCCATTTCAGCAGCAACTCTGCTCCACACCAAAAGGAAAAGGGGGGCAACCTTGGGTCTTGGGAAATTGTCCTCGCCATGAACCATGGAATGTGCTAATTCCAGACATTATACATCTGGCTAACCAGCTTGTTTTCGATTCTGTAATCCACTTGCTATCTTGGGTCATCTTGACACAGGGCATAAGACCACCCTTGTTATCTTGTTATTGTATGACCACCTAGAAGTCATTTACCTTGGCTGTCTTATTATACTTATTATGGCTAAAACAGCTGGCTAGTTTTAAGGTCACAAAGTTTGATTGCCAAGTTATATGACTGTATCACTTGTCTGTATAATGACTGGTTGTTGATAAATAGATTCAAAGTTCTGCTATGTTGTACAAACCTGACTGGTTCACAAGTGTCCTGTTTGAATAATATTTCTGTAATCCTATAAAAACTCTGACCTGACAATCATCAGGGCTGCTTCTACTCCCGAAATAGACAGCCCGGCCGGTCGAATATTAAAATTTACCTTGCTACTTTTCTTAAAGTGGTGTTGGTGATTTTTTTGCGAACTCCGTCCTATAACAATAATCAAAGGAAAATTGAAATTAAAACAGTTAGGAGCTGGGAAAACGGTATATATACACACAAAAACCTAAGCAAGAAAACCTATTAGCAAGGGTTACAAAAACAACAATACACCCACCCAAACACCAAGAAATTATTAGGTAATTTTGGGAAATTCTGGGTTAAGCAGAGGAAATTAATTTTGTTAATTTGCTTGCAGTACTGGGGATTGAATCCAGGGTTTCCCACATACATACCACCACTGAGCTACACAGCCGGGTCTTGTTTAAATTTTTAAGACATCTTGCTACATAGCCCTGGCTGGCTTTGAATTTTTTATCTCCTGCCTCTACCTACTGAGTAGCTGGGATTACAAGTGTGCACCACAATGAGCAAGTTTGCTAGCCTGCCTCCCTCCCTCTCTGCCTTCCTTCCATTTGGGGAGAGTTGTTTTTTCTTTCCTTTTTTTTTTTGGTCTTTTTAAGACAGGGTCTCCCTGTAGCCCCAGCTGTCCTGGATTCACTATGGAGACCAGGCTGGCCTCAAACTCACAGAGATCTGCCTGCCTCCGCCTCCTGAGTGCTGAGATTAAAGGCATGTGCCACCACGCCCAGCCGAGAGTTTTTTTTCTGACATAAGGTCCCACTCTTTAGCTCAAGCTAGCCTGGAACTCATTCACTATGTTGTCCATGTTGGGCTCAACCTCTCAGCAATCCTCTTGCCCCAGCCTCTAATGTGCTGAGATTATGGGCATGACCCGCCACACAGTGGAAACTTATTTTTCTTATTTGAAGCACACTTCAGAGGACTATAAAAATCCTAAAGTCATATTTTGGAACATATAGTCACTCAATATAATCTGAATTATGTTATTTTACTTATGCAGAGGAAAAAAACAAAAAAGGCTAATTGTACTAATCTCTAGTTCTGGTCTTATAATTAAGAATAAATAAATGTTTGTACACTTTAACCTGGTAACTGTTTCTGGGAAATCTTAGATGGTAACCCAAAACGGAAGCAAAGACATCTCCAGGAAAGGTGGCAGATATCTATCATCACAGCACTTGGGAGGTAGAGGGAGGAGAATAAGAAGTTTAAAGTCAGGGCTAGAGAGATGATGGTTCAGCAGTTAAGAGCACTGACTGCTCTTGCAGAGGACCCAGGTTTGATTCCCAGCACCCACATGGCGGCTACAAACTGTCCTTAACTCCAGTTCCGGGGGAATCCAATGCCCTCTTCTGACCTCCATGGCATTGCAGGACACGGGTGCACTCAGACACATGCAGGCGATACACTCATACACATAAAATTAAAATAATAAATATTTTTAAAAAAGAAGTTTAAGGTCATCCTGAGCTACACATCAAGTTCTAGCCCAGCCTGGGCTATAAGAGACCCTATCTCAAAAAACAAGAATGAATAATTTGTAAATCAGGCTGAGCTCACTGGTACACATCTCTAATTCTAGCACTTGGAGGCTAATGCTAGACTGTCATTAGTTCAAGGCCATACCTGGCTATATAGTAACTTCTAGATCAGTCTGGCCTTCAGAAGAAGATTGTATCAAAAAAACCAGAGCAGCAGAGAGATGGCACAGTGGGTAAAGGTGCTCGTTGTTAAACCTGATGACCTAATTTTGGATCAAAGTTCTATCCCTGGGACACACATAGTAAAACAGAACCAACTCCCACAAGCTGTCCTCTGATCTCTACTCATGTGCACTGTTACTTATACCCACGCACATACACACAAAGTAAGTAAATGCAATAAAAATAAATACAAACCATACAAATAAAGAAAGAAAATAAAACAGAATTTGTCTAATAGATTTTCTGGATTTGGCAGAAAGCCTGGAGGAGGCAGGGGATTTGAAGATAATCTAAAAATCCAGTAAAGAATATTCTGTTTTTTTTTTCACATGGTAGAAATCTTTCCCTCTTGGGGACTGGAGAGATGGATCAGTGGTTAAGAGCATGGGCTGCTCTTGTAGAGGACCCAGGCTCAGTTCCCAGCACCCACGTGGCAGCTAACCATGTCCTTAACTCTAGTTTCAAGGGATCAAATGCCCTCTTCTGGCCACCAAGGGGATTCATTGCATGTGATGCACTTAACATACACACAGACAAAACACTCACATAAAAAGAAATTAAATTTTTTTTTTTTTTGGGTCTTTTTGAGACAGGGTCTCCCTGCAGCCCCCCTGCCTCTGCCTCATGAGTGCTGAGACAAAGGGTGTGGGGCACCATGCCCTGCTTCCATGCATAGTTAAAAAGAAGTAATAGGCTAGAGAGATAGCTCAGCAGATAAGAACACTGACTGTTCTTGCAGAAGACCTGGGTTTGAATCCCAACAGCCACATGGCAGCTAACAACTGTTCTTAACCCCAGTTCCAGGGGATGTAACTCCAGTTCCAGGGGATCAGACAGTCTTTTCTGTCCTCACAGGCATTGCACGACACGGGTGCACTTACCTACCATGCAGGCAATACATGCATACACATAAAATAAAAATAATAAATTTTAAAAGTTTTTAAAAAATTTTTTAAAAAGATGAAATTTTCAGGTAAATAGATCGAGCTAGAAACTGTTATACTAACGTAATTCAGAAAAACAATGTATGTTCTCCCTCATTTGTGAATCCTAGTACCAAATCCTTATATGTGAGTATATATCCTCATGAAACTGCAGAAACCAGGAAAATGAAAGAGAACCAGGGAGGTAAAGTAGTAATTCGAGAGAGAACAGTAGGAGACAGGTGTTACTAAAGGAGAAATGTGTAAAATGGGGGTATTTAAATGGGAGGGGGTTATACAAGGAACTATGGGGCTAAAGGGGAAGGAGCTCAAGAGAGGTAAGACCAGAGCAGGCAGGAATTATGGGAGAAATGGAAATACTTTAAATGGGGAGGGTGTGGAGAGAGATTAGACAGGGAGAGAGAAGGGAGATAAATAATGCCTAGTTAGTATAAAAAAACTAGAGGGAACTGAATTAGTTCAAAAAATCTACTGAAAAACTACACACAATATCTCAACATGAGTTCATGTGTATAGTTGAAGGCTACATAAGAAATACTGCCAGACAGGAGAAACCTTCCTTTGAGTTGTTGGCCAGGGTAGTCTAAGAGACTCCCAAAATTATACAGGCTACTACCACAGCCCTGATTACCTCCTAGAACTTGAAAGTAAGACCCAATTGCTGAAGACAGGGCATATTTCAGACACAGGATTTGGAGCAATGGAGTTGGAACTGACCTGGAAGCCTCCTCTCCTGAAGGCTGGCTCTTACAGCTTTGGAGGGCACTACACAAGCTGGTAAGAGAGAACATCAATCGATGGTCCAACCCCAGCTTCAAGGCCTAATAACCACATCAATGACCGGCACAGCAAACTGGTGTAGTAGCGGCATTTTTATCTTGGGGGTAATCAACAGCTACCTAATTGGACGTAAAGCCCACTCAATGGGAGGAACTCATGTGTGGTACTTAAACCTAGCCAAATATGCATAGCTGGAGAGGTCATAGATCTTAAAGAAAACCGCAAGGTTGTCACATTCCTAGATAAATGTAATTTCTTACAATGTGCAAAATATGGATCCTCAAATTACAGACAAGTAGCCCAGTCACCACTGATCAAAGAAGCTTCTTTTTCAGCAGACAGATTATTATAGGCTGGTCATACATAGAGATTATCTGTGAATTGCCCAAGCCTAAGTGGCACATCTAGGATGTAACCTCTACACCTAAGGCTCATGGAACATAGAACAAGGGATAAAGAGAACACTGACGCATCTTTCAATTCTCATCAATGAAGCTCCCTCATGCAAGAGGGTCAGGAAAACAAAAGGTCACAAATGGTCAAAATGTAGAGAATAAGAGTCTGCAGAGTGTGGGTCCTTGGTCAGGATTTCTATATTAAAATCCACCCACCTAGGGCTCAGGGACCATTGTGGAAGAGGAGGTGGAAAGATTGTATGCACCTGAGAGGAGGTACATGACCATATGGAAATAGTCCTACAGGCTCCCGAGACCTTGCTTGTATGAACCTACAGCAATGGTGTCAGTATGCACAAGACCAATGCAAACTCAAGCAGACAAACCCAGCACAGAACTACAGAAAAGGACATCAGGCCCCAATCTTAGTTGAAGAATTATTGGCAGCTGATTACTGCTAGGTGAGGAAGAGCTGATCTTCTTAAAGGGAGGGACTCTGAATAGACTGACTAGACCTCAGTGGATGAACTTGCACTGAGGGACATCTGAGGACACTAACTTGACTAAATACTAGCTCTTAGAGCTTACACATGCTTACATATTCTTCCACCGAGCCACATCCCCAATGTTAACATTGTATTTTATTTATTTATTTACTTATTTTTGAGACAGGGTCTTATTTTTTTTTTAAATTAAAAAAAATTTTTTTTTGGTGTTTTTGAGACAGGGTCTCCCTGTAGCCCCAACTGGCTTGGAACTCACTGTGTAGACCAGGCTGGTTTTGAACTCACAAAGATCTGCCTGCCTCTGCCTCCCAAGTGCTGGAATTAAAGGCCTATGTCACCATGCCTGGCTTCAATAAATTTTTTTTTTTTAAAAGAAATCTTTCCCCTTTTAAAAGTCAAGTAAAAGGGCCTGAAGAAATAACTTAGTGGTTAAGAACATTGGCTGCTCTTGTAGAGAACCTGAGTTCGGTCCCTAGCACCCACATGGAGGCTCTCAGCTCCATGTATGGGACTGATGGTGTGCCAAGGCATGAAAGGCTGGTATGAGTGAGAAAAGGAGAGCGGGCAGAGACCTAGTGGTGCCGTGGATGATTTTTAACTTGGAGAGATGTGCCACTCAATCCTGTGCGCTTTGGTGAGTGTGCAGAGAGCAATGAGCAAATAATGTATGAGTGTTCTCACATTCAAAGGACATCCACATCTGTTGGAAGAAGTTTGTTCCTAGAAAACCCACTTTAGGGCTGGAAAGATGGTTCAGTGGTTAAGAACACTAACTGTTCTTACAGAAGACCAGGGTTC